AAATTCCAAAAAATTGTGCCAATTAGGGGCGTTTGTTGAAACGGGAAACATCAGCAAAATCTTGTCGGTCTATAAAAACCCAAAACCCTAGCGATACAGAGTTTGTTTTAATATTGTTATCACAATTGGAGATTTTACAACCACATATTGTAGTCGGAGACTTCAACACGAATCAAACCTGCAGTACTTTCTCCATTGTTTCAAACAGCTTGAAAAAAGCAGTGACAGGCTGCACCAACTCATCTACTAGGAAACAGTAAAAATTATCGCTTTGGTCGAAGTGACATAACTCTAAGTTTTGCTCATTTTGTGCTTTACTAAGCAGATTACGACTGCTTCATGAAAGAAGTTTTATTCTAAAGTTTTCATTTTTTCAAAAAAAGATTTTTCCAATCGTGAAATTTTCCCTAAAATCATATGAATTATTTGATTTTTTAAAACTTGTTTCTTGTCTTTTGTTATCTACAACAGGAAAAACACAAGTACAAAATTCATTTCATAAAAATTGGTCAAAAAATTTTGTAAGAGTATCGTTTAGTTTCGTAATTCGTAATTCAATTATTCAAAACTGTTCTCATTTCGGGCCAAAGTTATTGGCCAGTATTTTAACGTTCTCCCCACCACGCTCAAAACAAATGAAGTAAAATTGATTGAGAATGTATTTCCTCTGAAAAAAATGTGGTCAAAGCATTCAATTCTACTTCTACAGCAATCCGATATCCTTTTTTCTAGTTTAGAATTTCTTTCAAAAAACTTATGTCGTAAACTTGAACTTGGACGGCGGTGATCTTTATTGATTTGTTGGCTTTGGAGGGAAAATAGTATTTTATTGTCACGACAATTGCTAATTTAATACTTTTTTGTTGAGCTGTTTATTTTTGGAGAATTTTTTTAATAGAAAATATCCCGCATCTAAGCAAGTTTTATACAATGAATTTTTATAGATTTTTGTGGTCTTAACTTTGTTTTTCAAAAAATCGATTCCCATGTCGAATAAAAAACGAAAATAAAAGCTTGCATTTCATTGTTTTTATCAAATTGAAATCAATTATAATCAGTTTAAAGTCAATTAAAATGGATTTCGTTCTTTCTTTCTACTTTCTTTAGGTTTCGCGTCGTGTAAAGTTTTGCAACAGTTTCTGCATTTATCACAAGAGTAATGCAGAAGTTTTGAAAAACGAACCGACTTTACGGCCTACTCGATTTCTAAACGTACACCAACCCTTACGCGAAATGGAAAATGATCCCCCCATTGGAGTTCCATGATTAAAAATCGATTATAATTGAGTTTCCTTGTCAGTGTCCATAAAAAAGAAAACAAATCGATTATAATCAATTAAAAATATATTATAATATTACTGTTTTTCGAGGCAACAAAACCCTTTTTTCATCCATTATAATCGATTTATTTTCACTTTTGTGGACACTGACAATGAAACTAAATTACAATCGATTTTTTTCCACCTGAGTGAAATGCGAATTTCAACACACATAGAGTCTTTTCTACGTTTTAAATTAAAGTTGGTTACGTTGGTTACTTGTTGTTCAATTGAATTTTTTTGAACTTTGATATTTTTGTTACTTTTTTGTATTACTCAACATTACCCCCCGCCCTAGCGTTTGCCCATTTATAACAAATCCCCCCCCAACGTAACGTGTTTAGTTGGGGGTTGTTCAGGTGGGGTGGGGGGGGTTTCAGTGGGGAGAGGAGAGCAAAGGGGGCAAACGTTAGGGTGATTGAAGGGGAGCAAAGGGGCAAAAGTTGGGGGGGGGAAGCTCAACGGAATCTTTTTGCAATTTGAGTTTACGTTTTGAAATGGATTAGGCCAGGCCGTACACTCGCTTTGCAAAGTTTCCGCATCACTCACTTGATAAATGCTGAAATTCTTGCAAAATTTTGCACGAAGCGCGAAACAAAAATAAAGTGGAAACAAAAATCCATTTTAAAGTGATTTCCTACTTTTTATAAAATCCATTATAATGGATTGAAAATGAATTATAATGCATATCCATTTTTAGTCCAATTTTGTTGTCTGAACGTAACATTGGAATGGATTATATTTACAACACTATGGACCACGAAAATCCATTATAATCGATTTGTTTTCACTTTTCTTAAATGCGGGTGCCAACCCTTCCCATCGGGCAACGTTACGGGGGTACCTTTTAAAACTGATTTCCCGAGCTCTTGAAAAACACAGTAATCGACATATTCTAACAAAATCGCGTTAAGCGGCGCACGCGTTTTTGGCCCGTTCTTCTCAACAGCGCCATGAATCTCTTAAAACAACAAATCAAAATACCATTTTTGAGCAGTCTTATAAAAACATGATTATAAAAAAATTGGTTCTTCTGTATGATTTTTTTTGCTGTGGCTGAATGAGAAACATCTTTTTCTGAGCATTGTTGGCAAGTTATTGGAAAACCATTAGCGGTTTGTTTGATTTTTCTGATTTTCTTCCATTTATTTGAGTTTATTTTTCATTTATTTTTAGTCGACTGGTTTCATTTGGTTTGTTGGAATTAATGATTGTCGTCTAAAATGTTTGTGCTGAAGCCCTGGCATGTCATTCTCTTGATTTTGTTATAATGACTGAAAATTTGGGCAATTGGTGATGCATTTCTTGTGAATTCTCTGCTATAATTCTTCTTGAAATCTTCCTATTTGTCAGGATAATTTGATTATTTGGTTTTTGAACAATATTGTTATTTTTTTTCGTGTTTTTTCGTTGTTTTGATAAATGTTGTCCCTTTTTTTCGTTCATTGCTTCAAAATCTGAGCATATTTTGCAATTATTTTTTCTGTATTGCTTACATCCTTTAAATTTTTTTCTGAAATTGACCGCATAATTGATTTCTCTATTTATTGATCCGACTATTTTTGAATATTTGTGCTAGGAGTCGTTCTCTTCTCCAGACAAAATTCGACTTTTTAACAAGCAATGTTTGACACATTTTCCTAGTTCATTCAAAAAGTATTGTTGACTTGAGCTCAAATTTAAAAAAAAATTAGCCAAAAATAAAAAAGTTATTGGGGCTTAAAGATTGTCAAATAGGGCAATTTTGGACAATTAACGTGCGAAATATTTCGTGATATTAACGCGAGAGCGGAGATTTATTTCATCTTAGAAATCATTCCGAATTGGATTGAGGTATGCTTTTCTGCCTATAAAACACTTTTTCATGCAAAATATATCATTTTGTACTTTATATAGCGTGTGGGGGTTGGTTTTTGAAAAAAAAACTTCATTTAATTTGAAAACTTCATCAAACATTTTAATTTAAACTACTCTACAGAAATTAAAGTGCATTCGTTACTATCAACAGTCTTAGTTTGTTTTTGTCACTTTGACTCAAAGTGAAATTGTTGTGCATATGTTTAGATTATAGTTTTGAGCTCGTCGTGGTTTTTGTTCTCCAGAAATATTTCGAATTTTTAACTAGAATTTTTTCGAAGAATTTTTTATATCTTACGAAAGATATTGTTGTGTTGAGCTCATTTTTATAAAATATTTTACCTGTGATTTTTTTTTAATGTTACGAGGGTTTGAAAATTAATAAACTGCCCAAACGCATGTATATAACGCATGTAAGCTGCAATTTAATTCGTTCCAAATTGAATTGAGGCTAGCAATTTAAACCCTGATAAAGTAATGCGAGACGCTGAACACACCTCTTGTATTTTACTCAGCGCGTGGTTGGATAAAATGTAGAAAAAAGTTTATGGGGCTTGAAAAAAAAAACGTTTAAAAACACGCTAATGTGAACTAATAAGGGGAATATTTGGCATAGTTTGTCAGATCAAAGACTTGTCTCGATCCAATTTAGAATTTATTAGTCATCCGTTTTTCGTTTTATAAGAACGCAATACATCGCGCGTTAATTGTCCCACATCGGCCTAACTAGCATTTTTCCCCCATAGTTCAACAAAAATCACAGATGAAATATCGTTTTGAAATTGAGCTTAAGACAACAATACTTTTCAGATTGTATAAAACAAATTAAGAATTCAAAATTTGTTTGGTGAAAAATCAACCCTGATCACAAATATTCTGCCACTTTCTTGGAAAAACGGAACAATAATTCGCATATAGCAAAGTGTTTAATACACCAAATGGCTTGCCTCAGTTCAATTTTTAAGTCGGATTTAAACTACGCAAATGCGTTAGTAGCACGAAATATATCGCCCGGTAATTGTCGCAACTTGGCCAAATTGGTAATCCATGAACGCCTTGAACTTAACAAAAATAAACCCGTCTGAAACATTTTTATAAAAAAAATTGAGCTCACGAGAACAATATCTTTCAGAAGCTTAAAAATATGTCAAAATTGGCTAATTAAGAAGTCAAAAATTGACTGAATAAAAACCACACCAAGCATAATTATTCTGCACTTTCTTCAAAAGTCGGAGCAATAAGTTTTGGTTAGCATATTGTACAGACACTGGGTTTTTGAACATATGGGAATTCAAAATTGCTGAAATTTTCTGCAAACCTTTTTGTTGATTGATCAGAGTCTTCTAATATTTCAAGAGCTGGAATATGATTGATAAAAATGGTTCTCCAATTTTTTGGCTTAACTTACTTATATAGAGACACAAATTTTCAAATTATAGGTTTTGTTTTCTTCTAATAAAATTTAATTTTTCAATGTATATTGGAAATTGTTCGAGTTCTGTGTGTCAACATGTCAGCCATATACTGTTTTAATGACGCTTCCTTCTCGCAAAAACAACGGTAAATGCGAGGTCTGTTGAGATTATCTTTATTTCAATCAGTCGATGAAGCGGTCTGTCAGATAAGACTGATTAGAGAATTATATTTATTCTGGGTTTATTTGTGGCCAACAATTAGTTAACCTTAATTACTTGTTTTTCGTATCCAATTTTAATTATAACAAAAATGCAGTCCGAACAAAGTATAGTCCAATCAGGTTGCAAATAGTAATTATGGAATGTAAAGTGGGGCGGGGTTTAAAAAGAGCTGCTGCTGCTTTTCGAGGTGTTTGGATTAAGCTTCGATGGCAAACATAGTTTCCTGCTCGTCGTCTCCGAGATAGTGCAGAAGAAGAGCAAGACGTGGAAATTCTAAAAGAAATCTGGTCCACTAGATTTGATTCTACACGAGGGTTTTTATGACGAAATTACAAGCAATGGGCAGTTATTTCACCAATGGTGGATCGAATCGCTAGGAGCACGTCGCACCCTAGATTTACACATTTTCACAGCCAAAAACAAGTCATCCCCAAGGTTCTTTTACATCACCATCTTCAGGGCTGAACAGCACTAAAATTGGTTTTATGACAACTTTCGTTTTAAAATACCTTTATTGATTAAGAAGAGAGCAAAAAGTACAATTTCATTGAAAAAATTCAGTCTGCGATGATAATTTAAAATTAATGAATGTTTACTATTTTAAAAATATCGTGAAACGAATAGTTTGATAAGATGTCAAAGATCGACAAAGATGAAAAAAATAGCTTCAATTTGTTTCTAAATTTGTTTCAATTGAAATGTTGAAAAATGCTCGTAAGCTTTTGTCAAACATGGCGACGCGAAAATTCGTCGGAAGTGTCAACCAGACAACTGCTACAATTTGCACCAAGCGACAAAAAACAGCTAAGAATTGCGCAGCTTAGCCTGTGATGGGCGCGCTATTGACTAAAACATTATTGGTTAACATACTGGGCAAGATTTTTTTGCTAATTTTTGTCGAATGGTGCAAACTGTTGCGTTTTTCAATCTTGCCAGTTGTGAGTTTCAACCAGTTCTCGCTGTCAACGAACTGCCACCTAGCCATTTTTTACAAAAAAAATAAAAGAGCGATTACCAACCACTGTTTTTTTATTAGGACTTTCAAAGAAAGAGCGGATTATTTATAATTAGGGTGTATTTTTATATAGTCAATTTTCGATAGAGTTTTCAACCAGGCATTTTTGGCATTTTCTTACCACCTGAAATATATTGTTGCCTTGAGCTGAAAATTAAGTGATTTGAGTGCTTTTTTTTGTGACGTTACGGGTGTTTGAATTTTGCCGATTTGACCTATTTGAAATTTGCATTCGCCATATTTTGCATTCTTATAACCTGCATAAGCTACGAAATAGTGCGTTTCAAATTGATTTGAGGCCGGCAGTTTAATCCAATTAAAACAATACATTTAAAAACCACATACTTATAATAGCGTGTGGGGGTGGAAAAATGAGGAATAAATTGAAAAAATAAAGCTTTTTTTCGAATCTTTTGTCAATCATTCAGACTAACTCAGAATATACGAGCAGTATTGTTAGTATAGAGAAAAAAAAACAGATATCATAGATCATTAAGCTCGTGTTTATGTGAGAATGTTTAAAAAATCAACTTTTTGCTGTCTTCAGTCATTATCATTATCTCAGATTAATTGAAAAATGTTCTATTGGTATTTCTCTCAGTGCTTGTGACTATCTAATGGTTGAACACATCTTTCAATTAAAAATAACGGCAGTTCAATATGGTTTTTATCTACATTCATTTTCAAATTGAACGTCAAGGAGTCATTTGTTGCTCCGGCTTTCGAAGAAATTAAAGGACTTTTTGTGCTCGGGATGGGCTTGTTCACCAAATAATTTTGACGTTTAACTAATGCTTTTGGTAGGTCTTTTCATACCACTCACAAAGTAGTAATGCACAATCTAAATTTAACTCAAGCTTTTGTAATTTTGTTTCTTCAAATTAGAATGCTCGTTTTTTCAATGTTTTTTTTGTTCCGACCATTTTTGAAGAAAATCACGGAAAAATTGTGCTATTTGTTTTTTTTTCATAGACATTATTTGACTTAATGATTAGCAATATTTGACGAAATGTTTTTGTATCACTTCAAATCTATTGTTGTCCTGAGCTCAAACCCAAATAAATATTTCGTGTCTGATTATTATTTTTTTAAAAACATGGCGGTTTAAGGATTGCAATAATGGCAAAATTGCGAAAATTAACGCGCGATATTTTGCGTGATAACAACGCGTTTGCGGCGTTCCAATCCGGCCTAAAAATTGTTTCCATTTTAATTGAAGCATGCCGTTTGGCGTGTTTATCACTTTGCTATATGCGGGTATTGTTCCGAAGGAATTGAAGGAATAATTGGGCTCAGGTTGTAAATTCACTTGCAGAAAAAACCATAGCTTTCCCTAACAACAAAACAGGCAAGATAGTTTTCTATGGGCAAATTGTTGGAAAAACGATTCAAAAAAATAAAGCAATTTGGATCTCAAAAAAGTTCAACACTTGATGCAATAACAGTAACCTTCCAATTGTTTTAGATATCAAGGATGGACAAGAGCTAGGGCATTTTACTTTGTTTGAATTATCAAAAAACTGTTCGATTGAGTGAATCACGCCATCACACTACAATTTGTTCCAAATACGGCGATGATTTCCGGGACCGCTGGCTATGCATTAAGATGGGGAAAAGGTTTCCCAAAATAAGAAGATGGCTAAAGGTTTCCCAATGTATTTAGATGCGTTAAACCAAGTTTCAAATGGTAAGTTTCAAAAAATTTGGCGTCAAATTTTCCCGTGTGTTAAGATAAGGTATAGTATTGATCATTTATTAAAATTGGCATGACAATAGAGTTTTCAAATATTAAGACATGGTACAGAACTTGTAAGGTTTTCAGATGCAATGTTTTAGTTTTGCTTTGATTTTTCCAAAGAAGTTGTAAGAAACTGTAAGTTAATTCCTGCGTTCAGTTTTACAAAGTTTCTCGCTATTGAGCTCACTTCGCATGAAATTTTAGCCATAGACTGGGAATTTAGAGGGATATAGTATCAATTGCACACTAAAGTGCCTTCATTTTGTTTGTTTTAGTCGATATTAAGTTCACTGTCTAGATCAGACAAGTCTCCTTGTCAGTCACTTTACAAAATTTAGCAAGGATTTCAAGATACCTTTCGAACCTGTAATCATTACCATGACAATCAACAATTGCTGCCCAGATCAGTCAATTAAACTATCATAATTACCATTTCACTAACGGTTAAAAAGACAAAAAATTGTAATTATCTAAATTGTTAAATGCCACTATCTTAGCTAAATAAACCAAATAGTCAATTCTTATCCTTGACTTGGACTCTTTCCTTCTCCAAGTAAAGTGAAGGAATTATTTAGTATGCATTAATTTCTAATTTTTAGCTATTAGCCCAAAATTTACAACTGTTTTTCCCTGTGTTTTGCACTTTTCTCTTAAAAATTTTAGTCTGGCAGATCGTTTGTGCCCTTTTTACTTTTCTTTTAGGTATCTCAAAGTATCTTAGGTGTGGTTATGAAATAAACTACACCCAGATACAAAACTTATACCAACTGATTGAAGAGCAAACTATCTGTGCAAACTACCTGGCCAAACAATTTTCATGATTTGTTTTAGTTAAAGATGAAATTAAAGCTCAATTTTTACGGAATTTCCCGATACATATTACCAAAATTAGGTGGTTTTTAGGTAGAACCCCGTTACCATGTCTAGCGCGATTTCTGTCCAGTTTTTGAAAGCCGTGTAGCAGGCTCAGAGCGCATAGTTTGGACTGTGTTCCGTCGCAATTTATTGTAAATGCTGCGATAGTATCGACTTGCCGATGAATGCTTGTAAAGATCAAAGCTCAAATTGCAAGATGGGCAAAAAATCTCGGATAAAGTAGCAAAACTCAAGAAATAGGAAGGTAATTTTAGGATTAGTCACGAAATTCCAATGTTGTTTATTTATAAGCTAAATTAGATACAGTGAACGAACATTTGCCTAAAATCGATTTACCTATTCTTCTGAATAAATTAGTTGGAACTTATTTTGATTGGACACAACCATGCAAAGGATGCAGACAAAGTATCATACATTCGACATTAGATTTTCTATATACATAGAATCCAAAATCTGTAAAATCCATTGAAATTAGTTTTCAGAAAATGTAAATACTTATAACGTTTTGCTGAATGATACATCTATTGTTTGGCAAAAATTAATTTGTTGCATGGAAAAAAAAGTTATTATACAGTTTTCATCATTGAGGAAGTTGTTTTTTTTTTCATTTTTCTTTCCAAAACAGAGAAAATTTTTTGTTTTTGTGTTTTAGGTGTAAGCCTATAAGCATGCAGCCGAAATCAAAAACTGGAAAACTGCATTAGAAAAATTTATATTGCTATTGCATACATTTTTTTAATCTATGGAATTGGATGAAATTATATATGAAGCTTTTTGAAAGCCCGAGAGGCTACTTTAACTAAAAGTTTTTGCCTTTTCCGTACGTTATTTTTTATAATCCAAGCATTGGGGGAGTAATTAGGGTATAGCTTTGCAGGGAGAGCTGAGAAGTTCTGCCACCCTTTCAGTCGACAGAACAATAGCGAAACTTACCCAATACATAAATGATGCCCACTAAACCGAACACATATTTTTCGAAGTTGATTAGTCAAGTTTTTGATTGGTCAAGTTTATAGATAAACGCATCCACTTTTAAAATTGAGTTCATTAGAAATGATTAATTCAAATAGATTGAAATTTTATTTACCTTTCATATCTAACTATTTAAAAATAGGACTAAAAAGCAGTTTTACTGAAAATGAGAAACTAATTTTTAAGGTCAATCAAATCAGGACTGAAAGAATTGTGATCTCATGTACCACTCGACTCATTTATTGGAATTTATACTTATCGCCTATTAGATTACTTATCGCCTATTACAATTTCACTTCTTAAGATTACCCTCATAGGAGGCCATTTCAATAAAAAAAATGATGTCTGCATCGGAATGGGTAGATCTGACATATGATTCTGCAAAAATGGAGTTATTCCTCTATCGTTTGGTTCGTTTTTACTTGACTGGGCCATAAACGTTTCTTTGTTTCAGTTAGTTCTATTTAATCCCAATTAAAAAATGAAAAAGTAGTAGTAATAGTAGTTGTAGTAGTAGCAGTGTAAAAAATCAATTTACCTCCTGGGGAAATTAAATTAGTCAAACAATAGTGCTGTGAAGAACGCACAACGGCCTTTAATTGAACGGCCTGTACATGACATATCAAAAAAAAATTTCGAAGAACGTAACTCAATGAAAACTTGATTAAAAAATTAATTTGAAGCTTTCGATTGATTGAACATGATAGGACTCGATTACTCAATTTGGTCGTGTACAATAGTCATGATCCTGTAAAAAAAAGATCGATAATTTAGACATCAGTATTTCCCAGAAAAAAGAGTGCCGAATTCTCGATCTCGATTGGCACAACAGCTCATTTGGGTATACTGAGGCTAAGCACATGACAGTCGCCCAAATTTAGTGAAAACTAAATCATTTTGCGAATTGGAACAGAGAGGAGCGAGAAATGTATTCAGCTTTGAATCATCAGCGAAACAAAA